GGTTACCCAAGCTAATCAGAAGAGGTGGAGAACCTATTCAGTTTAGGATTACAAATGCAATACGGTCTTTCTCTAATACAATACTCTTGACCACATTGTTTGGTTTGATAGTTTATTTATTCATGTCTACTATCCAATGTGATTCGTGTGCTTATATGATTACCTTGAATGTGATTTGGAACGCATTCCTAAATCTCATTCATACTCTGGCCAGAGATTCTAAATCATATCATAGAGTATTCTCCCTCAAACAGTTTGAAGGTTAGAGATCCTTTGTTGCGCATTTCACTTGCCTCCATGGCTAAGTGGCTTAACCCCAACGATGCCGTGGACACTCCAATGGAATGACGTTTGACATAATCAAAGATCAAGGACTTAACCACAAGACAATGACGATGCCTCAGGTCAAAGGACTACTTTGCATTATCCCAACCATGAGTTCTCATGTGACATGAATATGAGAACTCTTCGTTGATCGTGTTCAGTGAACTCATTCTCTATTGAGCACCTACGTACTTGTCTTGATGTCACACACACACCAATGACTCGAGACTATTCACTCTCCCTGAGAGAAGACACAGTACGTACTGATCTTAACGGACTGTCAATGCCCACTTGGTAATCCTATGATCAGGAACATTTAGGATGTGTCTACGAAAGAATGGTCTCATGAATCTAACTTCATTAGATCGCATTCTCCCAATCACATATTCCTTGGACTTTATCGTTTAAGCATATAACATTTATATGAGACGGCTCAAACAATAATCTTTGCCCTTTATAGTTAAACTAGATTAATTTAACATGCGAAATGTCCGTAAAGTATCATCATATGATTGGTTTTAGGGCACATTTCCAATAATCTCCTACTTGCACTAGAGCCAATCAGCTTGGTCATCAGTGATGATACCTCTTCTGTAGTCATTTCATAAATGGCTGAATAGTAGGCCTAGACAATGGATATCTATATGTTATCCATAGAAGCAACCTTGAGAATAACGACGTCACCATTATACATGATTCTCAATCATGTGGTTCAGTCTCTCATTTGAGTTCGGATCTTGATGAGACCTTGATTCCCTGGCTTGAGCTATCGCCCCATTAGTGTCATAGTGTCAGTACACTAGATACACTTTCTGGTTGAAACCGAATAGAGAGTTCATAAATGAACTTTCCCATCCAAACAACATTGTTGTAAACTTCTATATGGCAATATATTTTGCATTCATAATGGAACACACTAAAGTCACTACTTTAATGTTTCCATCCAAATATCTCTTTAGTCATAATAAAGAGATATCCGTTTATCTCTTCATTCATAATGAAGAAACATCCAATGATGGATTAGATTCATAATCTAATTCTTCCTTTACGTTACTCTAATTCTTCCTCATTCTTTGAGGAATCTATCCTTTAGTATTTCTTAAATACTTAAGGACTCACTTGACAGTTGCCATGGTTCTGATCCTGGGCTTGCACTGATATCGTCTTGTACCTTTCTAGGTACAACTTATATAAATGTTTTTCATACAATATGAAATACATAAATCACCTTTGTGCGTATACATAAAGGAATCTATTTACGCATTATTTCTTTGGGAGTCAAAAGGGCACGTTCCCTTTGAGAAGGGCAACTTGCTAGTCACACTAGAGTCATCCTTCTAATTGAAGTTTATCATCATATGAGAAACTTCCTAGAATCTTTTGTCTATTATTAGGGATTGATATAATCAAATTATATCTTGAAATCTATCAATACATATTTTCATCCCATGTATATAGACTATGTCTCCCATATACATTCTATCGTTATAGAATGCTTAAAGTCATAACTTTAACGAAGAAGTATTCTTTTCATTTCCAAAATTAATATATCATATATATATATATATATATTCATATATATCATATATATATTTATATATATATATATACAAATTTAGGAATATGATTAACTCCCACTAATCTTTTGTAAACCTAGTAAACAAAAGATTCATTTACATCTTTATGAGAAATCAAACGATTTGACCTTTCTCTCATAAGACGCTTATAGCTCCCACTAGCTTGCTAAGATTCATGATGGATGGATCTCTACAACTTACATGTCTTGTGATTCATAGTTTTTAGACATATATTATCAAGACTATCTTAATAATGGTTTCGAAAACCCATATTATGTCCAAACATTGAATCACCATTTAGTTGTAGCTAGCTATCTTCGAATTAATTGAAACCAAGACTACGTCAAAAATGGTTTCTTCAAAGTCAACCATCCTTTTGATTGTAGTTACCTTAAGCTACCAATTAGCTTATGAAGGTTTCATTATTTCGGGTCAAATGGTACTTTACCATTTCCTTGAGTATATATCGTATATGCACTCAATGTAGTCATAAGGATTTTCATTCTTATTTCTTTCGAATTAAGAGATGCAACTCTATGACATAGTCATAAAGTTCAAACCATTCAACTGAGACGGTTTATAAATCCTTCTTGACTACCTTGGAGCTTTTGGTATAGGAACTAGGTTGTTTATATTTGTTGATTACTTTCTTGTTTCTCAAAGAACCCATTCTTTGAGTTCTATCTCTCGTTCATTTGCTCTTAGGCAAATCACATTGTAAGATTACAATGAACTACCCGACAAAACAACATTTGTTAGTTGGTTTATAGAAGCGATATCCAAAAGTTAATTTAAGGATATCCCACAAGATTGTTATCAAACATATATTGCTTATTAGCACACAACCCCAAATCTTAACATGCTTGAGACTTGTCTTTCTTTCCAACTACATCTTATGGAGTCATGAAAATATTGGAAGATCTTCTAATTTACAATCATATTGTTTTAGAAGTATATATCCTATATATGGGTAATAGATAACATCTAACGAACTAAATCTTATTCGAGTTCGTTCTTCTCCTAAAGGAGAAAATTCATTATCTTATGATGCTATTTCCTTGATATCTTTCAAGAAAACTATTCTAAAGTGTTACCATTCCTTGGATCAAATCTAAGGATGTAAATACTTTAGATGTCTTACTCATCAACTTACATTTCTTGAATTCTTTGAAACCTTTTGCAAAGTATTTGAACTTGTGTTTATTCAAAATAAACTATAGTCCAACCGAGAGTGATCTTCGGTGAATGTCATATAACATGAGTAGTATTATGTTGTGGACAAGTGTCACTAACATCTAAGTGACTTAACCTCAACAATTTTGTGATTCTTTCTTCTTTCCAAAAGAATAAAGATTCGAACATTTCGCCTCTATACAATTTAACAAGAAGGCATTGGATCCGGATCTAACGATCCAAAGCATCCATTTATTACCAACTCGTAATTTATGTTTTAGAGGTATCACAACTTTAGTTGGGATTAGTCACTATCTTGCAACCTTTTGGGTTTTAAGCATCATTGTATTCTAAACAGTTAACACTACCATATCATCTCTACTATAGAGACAATCAATTAGATTACCATAATCCAATCTTTGATTAATAAAGAACAATGTTTTGTCAAACAAAACATTCATCCATCTCTACTATAGTGACGGAATTAAGTTCCTTAAAATTGGAATGTAAAGACTATCTTTGGTTTTTCCAATTTCTTTGGTAGTTCATATGAGGAAGTAAGTACTATCTGCTTTCGCAGAGATCTTTATTTTATTCACGTTCCGAATGTGAAGCACCTTTTTCTTCTCTCATATATCTTTTACTTCTTATTAGTCACACTTTTACAACGATTGTAAAACATAGTTACTAATACGGAATCAAGCTTTCAAGTAGAAGAACCAACTGTTTTGAACTATTCAAGAACAATTTACAACACCTTCGAAAGATGTGTTCTTGACACTTGCAAGACATTTCTTGCAAATACCCCTTCCAATGTCCATCCTTTCATAAAGAAAGTTTGTTCCCTTGGAGTTAATTTTATCTTCTTCATTTGACTTCTCCTTTGACTACAATAGTCATGGTCCCTAAACTCCCACTATCTCTCTTGAAACTTATTTCAATTGTGTTATACACATCAAACATTTTGGAGAGCATGTGGTTATTGTTCACTACATAGTTTACAATAAACTTAGTGACATTATATTGGGGAGAAAGAAGAAGAACCCAACTGAAATATTCAAATGTTACCTGCAAATCTAACAATAACTTATGTTGCAAGATTGTGAATCTGCACCACACATTCTGCCACGACATAAAGTTAATGTGAAACATGACTTTGATAGATTTTTACATAGGAAAAGCCAAGAAAACGGAGTAATGGTTTGAAAAACCAGGCATTAACTGTCTGAAACATGACTTTGAAAGATTTATACATAGGAAACTGAAGCAGGCCTAATAGGGGGACCGGGAAAAAGGCAATAGGGTGAACTAGAGACTTGGTCCATTTCTTCACGACAGGGATCAAGAGCAAAATGGTGGCTGCAAAGGCAAGCATGGTGGGTACCATGGAGAATAAGAGCAAGAAGATTCCAGTCCTGACCTTGGAGGAAGGTAAAAGGGAATCTTCTTCTCAACACATGGATTGCTTGTCCACTAGCCGTCCATTAGCCATTCATGATTGCTTCCATTAGCCATTCATGCTTGTTTATTTGTTCCACTACTGTCTGTACATTGTTTATTAATTCCTTTCCCTGAGCTTAAGGTGGTTGTCTGTACATTGGCTCCTATAAAGAGCACTCTCTTGTAAATCATTCAACACAATAGAATATACATTTCATACCCACCATAATTGAAGGTTGCTTATGAAAGCAGGTACTCGAGTGGAGAGGAGAGGACAGAGAGAACGAAAGCCACAGAAGACAATGAGCAGGCAATGACCACACCGTCCATGCAGGTGAAGCAAAAAGGAGGATCGTCCTTATTTAAATAATCTTTTCATTAAATCTTTGAATAAAGTTACAACCTGTATATATACAAGTATATCAACTAATGAAAGTAGCACCACTACATTAGCACCACTAACTAACAGAATTAACTATCCAATATCTAAATAGGATCTTTTATATCTGCATTTACATTTATACCCTCAATATTCCCCTTCAAACTGATTTGAGGTTGCCGAAGAGCAAGTTTGCACCGGAGAAACAGAAAACGTGATTTGGACAGAGCCTTTGTACAAATATCAGCTACTTGATCCTGTGAACAAACAAAATGCAGAGAAATTGCGAGCCAAAACTTTTTCCTGGATGTAGTGGTAGTCCAATTCAACATGCTTAGTACGAGCATGGAAAATAGGATTCTTGGCAAGAGAGATAGCTGATATATTGTCACACCACAACTTTGGTAGACAATGTAATTGAAAACCAATATCACCAAGAAGCTTGCAAATCCAAGTTAATTCTGCAGCAGTGTTAGCCAAAGATCGATATTCAACCTCTGTAGAGGACCGTGCCATGGTGGATTGCTTCTTAGCACTCCAAGTGATGATAGAATTGCCCAAAAAAATACAAAACCACCAGTTGATCTGCGATCCATAGAACAGCTTGCCCAATCAGCATCGAAATAAGCAGTGATACACGGTGATGAGGAACTTTTAGAAAACCAGAGACCACACTGAATGGAACCTTTGAGATACCTCAGAATGCGTTTGACCGCTTGAAGATGAGAAAGTCGAGGACAGTACATAAATTGACAAACAAGGTTCACTGCAAAAGAGAGATCGGGCCTAGTCCATGTGAGATGTTGAAGGGCTCCAACAAGGGATCTATATTCAGTAGGATCATCCAAGAGAGGAGAAGAGTGATCAAGTTTTGATGTACTAAGGGGAGTAACACAGGGTTTGGCATCATCCATTTTGGCCTTGTGCAACAAATCCAAGATGTATTTAGGTTGAGAAATGAAAATACCCTTGGAGGATCACTTAACTTCAATGCCAAGAAAGTAATGCAAAGGACCAAGATCCTTGATAGGAAAGAGAGCATTGAGTTGATCAATAACATACTTGCAGGTTTGAGGAGAAAGGCATGTGACAAGAATGTCATCAACGTAGACAAGAATAAACACCAAGTGAGGATCTTTCTTAACAAACAAGGAATGATCAGATTTTGAGCCAACGAAGCCCAAGAAGAGTAAAGCACCATGTAGTTTATCATACCAAACTCTAGGAGCTTGTTTGAGACCATACAAAGATTTATGGAGTCTACAAACAGAATTAGGCTGTGTAGAATCCTGAAATCCTGGAGGTTGTTGCATGAACACAATTTCTGTAAGAGTACCATACAGGAAAGCATTGCTGACATCAAGTTGGTTGAGAAACCAATCATATTGAATAGCCAAAGTGAGTAAAAGTCGAATGGTGACAGGTTTGGCAACAGTGCTAAAAGTCTTAGTGTAGTCTAACCCTTCCTGTTGATGAAAGCCATTTGCAACCAGTTGTGCCTTATACCGATCTATAGAACCATCAGGCTTGCGTTTGATTTGAAATACCCACTTGCAACCTATCGGATTCTGAGAAGGAAAATAGGGAACCAATGACCAGGTACCATTGTTCAGAAGAGCATTAAACTCTTCTTGCATTGCCTTCCTCCAGTGAGAATATTTGGATGCTTGATGATAGGTGGAAGGAACAAAGTCAACACTGAGATGAGATGGAAAGGTATGTTTAGTGGCAAGCAAAGCTTTAGGTTTAAAGATGCCAAACTTGGAAAGAGTTTGCATGGGATGAATGTTGAGAGGAGGAGATGGCAATGATGGAGAAGAGATATTTAGTTGTTGGGAAGTAGATGAAGGTGGTGCAGGAGATGTATTTTGGGAAGGAGATGAATTTGGTGAAGAAGATGTATGTAGTTGTTGGGATGTAGATGGATGTGGGGGAAGAGATGTATATGGTGAAGGAGATGTATGTGGTGATGATGGGTTAGAAGAATGAAAGGAATTAAATGTGAGATGGAAGAGAATTTTGCAGATAACAAATTTTGCTTTAAATCAGGCACATGAAGAACATTTTTCAACTGAAAACAATGGTGACGAGTATTTAAAGAAGAAGAACCAGAGTGATGAATGGGCAAACCTTTGCCATCACCAATGTAGACCTGTTCATGACCATGATAAGTCTTAGGATTTTGTAGATTGGTGTAGTAATTGGTCATGTGGGAACTGGCGCTAAAATCAACAAGCCAAGTTGGAGCAGATTAAGTAGAACTAGTGTGAGTAACCATAGCAGAGTGAGATGAAGATCCAGTGTAGCTGGGATTCATGCGATATGGACAATCAAATGCTTCATGATCATAATGACGGCAGATTTGGCAAGGAGTGCTTTTGCCAGAGAAAGAACGACCACCACGAGAAGAACGTTGATTATTCGGCCGGTAATTGTTGCGTTGAAAATTGCCTCTGAAATTGCCCCTGCCTTGAAAATTTCTAGGGTTTGAAGAACTGCCACGATTTTGAGAGTAATTAGAATAACGACCTTGAGAGAAATTCTATGAAGAGTGAGCTAGAGCAGCGTAAGCCTGAGGAGCCATAGATGGTGTGGGAAGAAGACTCGTAGAAAAATTAATTGCTTGGAAATGAGCAGTGAGAGGCAATTTCTTGCGATTATTCAACTAAATTTCTTTGCTTAGAAGAAGGCCATGCAATTCATCAATGGTAGTCGATCCGACATGAAATTGAATAGCATCAACAAAAGAATCATACTCTAAGGGTAATCCATGAAGCGTGACAGAAATGAGCTCGGAATCAGCCACCGGAGCTCCAGCACTAGCAAGAGCATATGCAATTTCCTCAATTTGTTGGAGAAATTGACTTGCTGTAGATTCACCTTTTGTAGTGTTATGCAGACGCGATTGAAGATTATGAATGTGAGATTGAAAAGCAGAAGCCAATCGTGACTCCAATTTCGACCAAAGTTCGCAAGAAGAATTAACTCCAACAATGTAAGGAATTAGGGTTTCAGACAATGTAGAATTGAGCCATATGAGAATGTTTTGATCGTTCTCATACCAAGAAACATACTCAGGATTGATGAGAGAAGTGCGATTGCCAAAATCATCCAGTAGCATTTGAGGTGGCGGAGGTGTTGAGCCATCAACAATGCTAGTGAAATTGTAACGGTGAAAAATAGGAGCAAACAAAGCACTCCAGGTGAGGTAATTGGTAGTGGTGAGCTTAATTGGCATCATAGATCCAATATTTTGAATTACGATGGAGGAGGTCACCAGAGGAGATACCGTGACAGAGGAGTGCAACGGAGGTGGATGAACATAAGCAGTAGAGTCAGAAGAAGAAGCAGGAGCCGCCATTGATGCACAAGGTTAGGGTTTGGGAGATCGAGATGGCGATCACAATCAGAAAGAGGGAAGAAGAAACGTCGCAAGGCGGTGAAGCGTGTTTGGATCAGATCGTGAGACAGAAGGCGGTTGATAACATATTGGGAAATAATCTTTTCATTAAATCTTTGAATAAAGTTACAACCTATATACATACAAGTATATCAACTAATGAAAGTAGCACCACTACATTAGCACCACTAACTAACAGAATTAACTATCCAATATCTATCCAATATCTAAGTAGGATCTTTTATATCTATATTTACATTTATACCCTCAATAGTCCTGAAAAAACAGGACGGCCACTTTGTTCATTACCCCCAGGAATGGCGTAAGCGGCTGCAAATACCACGTTGGCCACTAGCAACAGCTCCTCCGCTGCCTAATCCTCGTTGTTGTGGTGCATGTTGTAATGTGGTGGTAATATCTCTGCCACAGGATGACACAACACGGTATACATTTATCAAGTCGACCAACATATACTTGGTAACATAAGTATTCGTCCACAACATAGTCATTGATCATGTCTTTAGACTTAATTGGTAACATAAGCATTCGTCTACCACATAGGTCTTTTTATTGAGAATGAATCTCACATTGATGAGGAGAAAGACTTTGCATGGGCTTATAAGTAAGTTGGGCTACTCCTCATACTGCCAATTGGTTTTTTGGTGGAACCTCAACTTTCTTCATGATATCAGTGCATAGGTTGTCCCACATGTGAAGCTAAATGGTCACATGCGCTCTGTGTCACCCTATGTCCAAAATTCACCACACGTGAAGGGGCGTGTTGAGAAGGGATTCCACATTGATGTGAGGATGGACATTGCCTGGGCTTATAAATAAGTTGAGCTATTCTTCATATTGCCAATTGGTTTTTTTTGTGGAATCTCAATTTTTTTCACTTTTATCAAGTCAACAAACTTGATATTTGCGTAAGTATTTGTCTAACAACATAAATCTAGCAATAGAACAATACCATAAACCAGCGTAGCTTTGCTTGCAACTGCACGACATGACCAATTAAATTCTAAAACAATGCTATACAGTAAAAACTCCTATCTGCATCCTGGTGCAATATGGTGTTTCCATCGCAGTCGATCCTCTCATTCTGCCTTGACAAATACAGTGTTAAAGATTAACACCAACCCATTAAACTCGGTACAAAAGAACTACATTGTTCTAGTTCCTACTCTTTGCCCCCTTTCACAGATAATGGAGAGATGAATTGATCAAACATGCATAAGATTTGTCTAGAAGATTCTAGCAAGCAACAATGAAAATCGTAGTGCATGCACATTGAAAATGCTAGTTAATTCTAGTGAATTATCTAAATAAAATATCTTAAGATTGTTGTAATGGAATGTTAGTGAAAATTCTAATAAGTAATATAAATTGGTGGCTGGAAATGCACAAAGCCAAGTGCACCGACTTAGGCTAGATCGGTTATGCCATGTATAAATATAAGGTGCAGTGCTATGTAAGTAATCAAGCAAAAAGTAAGAAAGTAAGAGAGTAGAACCAAAAGTAGGTAAGTAGAAGCATGAGTCGTCTTGTAAGTGAGTAGTTTTAGTGAGGAGTGTGAGTCAGTGGCGAAGCCACGTGAGGGCGAGGAGTGGCGGCCGCCACTCCCCTCGCCGGGAAACACCACTGGACCCAGCTCTTCGCCACTCCCCTCGCGCGCGCCTCCCTGGAAATCCCTGGTTCACTCTTCTGTTTTTCTGGGCAATCTGCAATCTGCAGATTGCTATTAATTTTTTTTTTTTAAACCAGGCCAAAACGACGTCGTTTTGTGCCTAGTAAAAAAAATTTAAAAATTATGAAACAAAATGGCGCCGTTTTGTTTAGTTGAATTAAAAAAAAATTATTATAAAAGGGGACCGCTCCTTCCGCGTGTCACCCCAAAACCCTAGTATCTGTCCCCCACCCCTGTCCCCAATCCCGTTCCTCTTTATTTCCTGATCCCATTTGTTCACCAATCAACAGAGAGAGAGAGAGAGCCAAGCTGCTCCCCAAAATCCCAGCAGCCAAGCCAACGCCACCAAGTCCCCTTGAATTTATGTTGAGCCTTCACAGTTCACAAGCCACTCTCCTTTCTCCAGCTTGAGTTTGAGCCGGCTTCCACCAATCACCATTTAAAGGTAAATTTTTTAATTCTTAAATTTATAATCTGTAACCCTAATTATTTAGTTAATACAAATTTCATTTAATTGGTATAGAATCATATGGTAATGCATTAATATGGTTATTGATTATTGATGTGAATCATATGCTTCTATGATTATTGATATGAAATTATGAAATTATTTTTTCGAATTATTCGTATGGCATGTTTGAATCCGGTGAATAATTTTGCATCTTTTGACAAAGCAAAAATTATTCGTTTAGCCCAATTTTATCCTCAAGATTTTGATCGTATGGACCTCATGAATCTTCCAATTCAACTTGACAATTACATTCATAATATGAAGATGCATAGTGAGTTTTCATCATTGAGAGGAATTAGTGATCTTGCAAAAGAGTTAGTGAAGACCGGGAGGTGTGAAAGCTATATGTTAGTGTATAAACTTCTTACATTGGCTTTGGTGTTACCGGTTGCAACCGTTTCGGTGGAGAGAGTTTTTTCTGCTATGAAGATTGTGAAAACACTATTGCGTAACAAAATGGGAGATCAATGGTTGTGTGATAGCATGCTTGTTTACATTGAGAAAGATGTATTTGCTTTTATTGATAATGAGCCTATTATGCGACGTTTTCATGACATGAAACCTCGCCGGCAACAATTGTAATTTGTTTGTATTGATTAATTATGGAAGACATTACTATATAAAAAGATTTAGTTGTTGACATTTTTCTTTAACCTTGCATTCTTTTAAGTTCGCCCCTCCCCTCGAGAAATCCTGGCTTCGCCACTGGTGTGAGTGGTCTAGAATTTATCTCTAGAAAATGAGTGTCATATATAGCTTTTAAATTGCGTTATTGATGAGAGTTGTGTTATAATATTTTGTCAGTGTGATACAAGTAATTTGTTTACTTGTTTTGTCTCTTCAACACTTGTGTTAAAGTTGTGTATTTTAATTTTTCTCAACTTACAGTTGGTTTGCTTTTGATAAGCTTAAGAGTCGGTTTCTGACGGTGCTTAATTTCGAAAAGAAAAATGGTGCGTTCGTTATAGTTAACGTGCTTGACTGCCTGAGGATTCTGCTCAAGTATCTCATCCACAACGGGCACAATTCCTGTAATAGTTACCCGCGGATTCTACGCCGCCCAACAGAGCTATCCCAGGCCACGCGTCACCTTTCTTCTCTTTTTACTCTCCTCTCTCAGAGTTCAAATCTTATACCCTCATTGATTGTTATTAGATTAGTTTAAATTTAAAATTTGTATCTTAAATCAATTAAACCAAATTAATCTAACAGTAATCAATAAAGCATCACCCCGTCTTATAGGGTGAGCAAAAATGCACTCATTATTACAAATATTTTTCTCCTTTTTAGCTGAGATAAATATTGTGAAGTCGCCATGCTGGATGGATGGTCAGACCAACTTCACAAAAGCATTGACCTCCGCTACTGCCCATGAGGCAGCCTTAAGGCCAAGTATAATCTCTTAATTATCACTGAGGAGGATGCGAGTGTTAAGTGTATAAGAGAAGCATATTAGTCTAATCAACTTGATTATGCTTAACTAAGATTTATTTTTTATTTCTTAATTTTATTACAAGGGATATCATTATTTTAATTTACGCGAAGAGAGAAGGGTAGAGTTTGAACCCGGACAGAAGAAAAAGACTTTATCTACTAAAATAATCCATCATTTAATTAAGAATGAATCATAAATGCAAATGATAATTACAAATCAATAAAAGCACGCAAGAGACATAATCTTTAGCACACAATCTGTTACAAGCCTTTATTCTTCACTTATTGCCCATACTTGTGAATGAAGACACAATAACTATTACGTACAACCAGTTCATAGTTTTACTATTTTTTTTAATGTGAAATGTTCAAAATGTCCTTAAAGGGGGATCTGGATCCTCTCCTGAGCTAATGGAGAGGATCCTCCTGACCAAGTGTTATGGGCCGTTGGATTTTCATCCAACGGCTATAATTATTATAACTTTAAAAGGACCCACCTGTTTGTAGCCGTTGGATGAAAATCTAACGGTCCACAATAATTGGTCAGGAGGATCCTCTCCATTAGCTCAGGAGAGGATCCAAATCCCTTAAAGGGTATGTGTCAACTTTCATTGACTTATTGATCAGGACACGTATGATATATTAATTAATATGTTTTGACAGTACTCGTTATTATAAACGACTGAGTACAAGCATAGAGAAAATTAAAACTAGAAGAAAGATTTTACAAAACACGTATCAATTATTTTATTTAAAGTAAAGGAAAAGATAATAGCACTAGATATAAAATATTAATGCTAGAATAAAATAAAATAAAAAGAAGGAGAGGAGGGGTGGAGAAGGATCGTGATTTGGCCGGGGGAAAAAAGGGGGGAAGGAAGCCTTTTCTTCTTCTTTCTTCCTCCTTTACTCACTTCACCCCCTTCAAACTATTTTCATCGTAATTTCCTCATACGATAACGAAATCACGCGAGGTCGGAGGCTATAGTTTTGTAGCGAAGCCGTCTTCAATCTCATACCATACCCACCCTTTGAAAACCATTATATAAAGAAAACGAGGTCCAAACATATTGACGTTTTCCGGCGACTTTTCTCTGATTTCGGCCAGTCCCGCTGGAATCTAGCCTCAATGATTCTCCCCTCGTGGGCTCTCCTCTAGCGCAAGTATTTTCCCAAGGTTTTAACTTTTAGTTTTGGGATCAATTCATGATTTCAAATTTTAATTTGATATTCTGTATGCATATTTGAGATGATGCATACAGGGAAGAACCTTGAAATCCTAACCTCATTTCGGTTCTTCTTAGAAATTTAAGGGTTGGGTTTGTGGTATAAGCATTAATTTTATTCCACAATCGAGGCCGGATGCATTTGAATATTTTGTGTGCCATATTTTTCCTACCCTTTACGCACTAAAAAGATCATTGCTGAATTTGTCTGTGTTGCAACCTAGGTTTGTGCAGTTAATTAGAGTTCTAAAACTACTGAGTGGTTCTATATTTTTCCCATGGCATTGCCAGATGCTGATGCTAAATATTTGATTGGACAATGCTATTATTAGAGTATTATATGACTCTTGTTTTGGCCATGGATTTATTGTGCTTCTTTATTTCATTCTTTTAGCAGATGAATAGCTCAAAACTGCTAGGAATTTACATTTTTATTTTGAGGCACTTGAATAAACAGTTTGGTTTTTCCATGATAATTATTAAGGATCATTGATATGGTTGGGCTGGTGTACTATTTACGAATAATTATACGAATGTTATAGTTTGGGGATTGCATGATATCCTATGGTCTGAGAACTAGTTCCTTGATTAAGATTAATGGATTATCAAACATTATACCTATTCTCTAGTTGAATACATTACTATGTTTCTGAGTTCAAGACCAATTTAATATGGCAGGTTGGGTTCTTTGTTGTTTGGCATGCGTATTTGATTAACTAGTGCAAATAAATGTTATCAAATTTAGTGAAGTTATAAATATATTGGATTTTATGTGAGGTGGTTGTTTTCAAACTATTACTTCTAAAGAGAAAATATAGGCAGCTACTTTTATCTGCCTATGTATCAAATTATATACATATCTTCCTCACTCATTTTCATTATATACTCCAATTGGATTAGTTCTAACGAACCGTTCTATTTTCTATAACTAGTCTAGCTAGCTATTATCAAATTATAGTTATATTGTTGCTTTTTTATGTACTATTGGCTTTATATTTTTAGCATACAAGTTGAAAGGGGTATGCTTATAGTAGTTGACTATAATTATATCTAAAGTTATTGGTTAGTAAGGTTATGGCTGGTATAGATATCAATAGTTGACAGATCCAATTTGGTGTGATTACTATTCGATTAAGTACTTCACGTTTATATGTATCATGTTGTTTGCTTAAATGATACAATGGATGTCCTATTAAGTGTAAATGTCTATATGCATGCCTATACTGAAACCAAAATCAAGTTGATGATTCACGTTTTGAAGCTATATATGTATATATGTCTCATATGCCTAGACAAGCTATACAAAGAAAGTATATCGTTTATATTAGTTATTCTGATTACATGTATGTAGTAATGATTTGCAGTGGTGATAGGAGTTTATTGAAATGGTGAACTAGGAATGGCTTGATCCCGTCTTAGGGTACGTAGGTAGTCTAATACAGAGGTTAGAGGTAGCCATATGATAAAACTAAATTACTATACCTTTGACACAATGATTTGTGTTTTGATCATATCTCAAAGGCGGGGCATGAAAGGAGAAAAGGTATGTGGAGACATCACATGTTGATCCTGGACATATCTCGGGATCAAGACTTGACAATAACATTGCCAAAATAGAGGAGGAAATAAGAAAAATCCGAAATATACAAATGAGAACAATAAATAAATACTGGTGTTGCAAGATGGTGAATCTACAACGCATATTGTGCTGTGACGAAAAGTTTTGTGATTCAATACGCCTTATTCTAGCCCCAAATTGATCTCTTCTTGTGAAAGCCAAGAATGCGGCCTAAGGGTTTGAAAAAGCAGGCATCAATTTTCTGAAACATGACTCTGAAGCATTGATACATGGGAAACTGAAGCAGGCCGAATAGAGGGACTGGGAAAAAGGCAATAGGGTAAAGTAGAGACATTGTCCATTTCTTCTTCACGCGAATCAAGAGCAAAATAGTGGCAGCAAAGGCGAGCATGGTGGTTGCCATGGAGAAGAAGAGCAAGACGAATCCTAGCATAACCTTGTGAGGAATGCTTTTAACGAAATATGGGTACTCGAGAGGAGAGGAGAGGACCGAGAGAAAGAATGCCACAGAAGATAATGAGGAGGCGATGGCCACAACGTCCATGCAGGTGAAAAGCAAAAAAAGAGGATTGTCTTGGAAAACAGGACGGCCACTTTTGTCGTTAAAACCCCCAGGAATGGCGTAGGCAGCTGCAAAGACCACAGTGGCCACTAGCACCGCCACGGTTGAGCATGACTGAGCCGTTTCTTTTACCCATTCTTGTGCGGACTTCAGAAGCTCGTCGTGCCCAGCGTTGAACAACTCCTCCGCGGTCTGATCGTTGTCGTTGTGGTGCATGATGTAATGTGGGGGTAGCATCTCTTTTATATGCTGATACAAACACACGTACACATTTATCATGTCAACGTATGGATTTGGTAATAAAAGTATATGTCTAAAAGCTTAAGTATTCTATAAGGTCGGTAGACTTAATCAGTAATACAAATATTTGTGTGACGACATAAGTCTAGCAAGAGAACATTACCAGCATCCAGCGCAGCTCTTCTTGCAATTGCATTGCAGGGCCTATTAATTTCTGAGACAATGCTATAGAGTAGTAAGTCCTATCTGCAGCCTGGTGCAATATGGTGTTTCCCTTGTGGTCTATCCTCTTATTCAGCTTCGACATCAGAGTTGGTTTGCTTTGAATAATATCAAGGATCTCTTTCTGACGGTGCTTAATGGCCAGATGCAAAATGTTGCGTTCGTTTTCGTTAACTTGCTCGACTGCCTGAGGACGCTGTTCAAGTATCTCCTGCACAATGGGTAAAAATCCTGTGATAGTTGCTATAAGCAATGGGGTAGTGTTGTAAACTTCATTCCTCGCCTCCTTTTTCAATGTGGTTACTTCCTTATCTTTTTCACATCCATCCGATTTGGTTTTGTCACCTCCGCCATCACCATTTGTCGTATCCGATTTGGTCCCTAGAGAAATGGTCCTGATTTTTGTATTCTTGTTAGTAATCAACCAATAAGGGTCGTCCAACTGGACGAGCAATCCGATGAGTTTCTTCAGTGATTTTTTGTTTTTCTTCTCCTTCCATATCATGTAGATTATCTCACCAAGCGGGCCTCCAGTTCCTGTCCATTAAATAATCAAGCATTTGTATACATTAACTAACATGCCACCGGGAGATGTTATTGCCACTCTAAAGAAGTTATCATGCATTCTTCATCTTCTTATGTAATCATGAGGAATGAGTAATTAATGTGTTTTTAAGAGTTCCAGTAACAAGAGTTCGCCTTGATGAAAATGCCCTGAGGTAAAGGGAGAAAGTAACAAACCTTTAGCAAAGGAGTCCAATAATGAATAGTAAGCCTTCATAACAACTGCAAAACATTTATGCATGCAACTTGGTTAGGAACATTGAAAAAATCCAATTGAAGAAACGCTTTATGCTCTTGGTAGCCGTTTAATTTTTCGATCAATTAAGTAGATTACAAATTTGATTACCTGCAAGCTTGTTCCGAAAGATGGATTGATGAGGATGGTTGCTATCCATGCTGCTCTCCACATCATCCTTCTGATTTGGTGTGACCACATCTCCTCCATCAGGAAGGCCTGCATGTATAACGACATTAAGTATGAGATTACTGCTCCATTAAAAAAAAAAATGCTTGCACCTGTGTATATATAGTATGCGTACGTGCGCACGCATACAGCAGTTTGTAGAGTAATGGCACGTACAAATATAAATTAGCATCTTCCATTTGATTTTTTCAAAATGTGGCACAGAGGCAGTTGGCATTTGGGCTAGCAACTGAAGGCTTGTCAAATTTTTATCTTCCCTTAGGGACGCTAGATATGGGTACTTATCCAGTAACCAAAGAGCAATCTCTGCATTGTAAGTCAAAAAAGCAAAAGCTATTAATCTGCACTACAAATAATTCTGTGCATTTTCTCAGGGAGAGAGAGAGAGAGTGACCGAAATGTTGTGCAATGACTGCCATATGAAGAATGGACTTTTTGTCATCTCTGTGGAAGTGCTTCCAAAGATTGTCCCCCGGCAGTTTGCTGGCATAAAACTTGACCAAGTCAGCGTGACCGAGAGCAGCTGCCCTGAAGAGCGGAGTTTCTCCTAAATAGTTCCGAGTCTCCAGCAGCTGCACCTTAGAATTCTCTAAATCCCGAACCTCACGCAGCTTCATATCGCAGTCTTTATCTGTACTACTACTGATGGTGACTACCTCTCCCAGAACAGGATCGTTGAAGTTGCTCAACAAGTACTTTGCCGCTTTCTCATTGCCAGACACACTCACCTCATGGAGAGTATTGTTTCCGTAGCTATTTGGAAGCCTCAGAGCGCATCTCACGTCATAGCTGGTTGAATTCCTGAGTATATTGATAAACATTTGGAGGACTTCTGTGCCTTGTGATTTGCTGCTGCGAGAAGCCGCAAGGTGAAGTGCAGTGTCCCCCTCCGCTGTCATATTATAGAGCAGTTTTTCTGCATTCCCCTCGAAGTATTTCGTCACGTCTTCCCATCTCTCCTCCATGGCACTTTCATAGGGACTTTTCATTTGCTTTAACCTATCGTCTCTCTCTTTCTGCTCCGGCTGGACCACGTTTTGATCCGGCCGAACCATCAGCGTTTTCCAGTACTCCATTTGTAGTGTACAAGATAGGTTGAGGCTTGTAATGTGGCAGTTGTTGCTTTGATTTATAGGCTAGCTGCTACTGCTGCTACTGCTGCTACTATATGCTTTACTTAATTAAGTAATAAAGAATGTTGAATAATGAAGCATAAAGGATCGAAGAGTTAAGGTTAGTAGCTAGGCGGCGTGTAATGTCAATGTGGTTTTCGCTTTGATTTACAGGCCCGGCTAGCTGCTCCTACTGCTCCTTCAACGTACTTAATGTATGCTTTGCTTTGCTTTGCTTTGCGATGGATTATTTAGATATAGACCCTTGTAACTCTTATTTTTAAACAAAAATCCATCTAGTTATAAACATTCAAATAAAACCCAAATTTAAAAAAGACTCCCAAATTGAAAAGTAATTGACCTCTTATTACAAAATATTTACAACTTGTACAACAATATACAAAATAAATCAATAAATGTTATTACTCACCTTAATTACAATGAACAAATTGCACATAATATTACACCTAACATATATATACACATTCAAATGTATATAGTACTACCATAAGCTCAATATATATATGTGTGTTTATATGTATAGTTTACCTATATATAGTACTACTATACGTTCAAATACACACACACACACACACACACACACACATATGTATGTATGTATGTATGTATGCACACTACATATATGTTCAAACATATTATACTAATTAATCTACCTATATGTGAATTTATGATAGCAAATAACCTTCATTATGTGGCTATTTTATTTTGTATATCATCATATATATTGAGCACATTTTATTATTATATGTATAAATAATAGGTAAACTAGTATTGAATAAAATAATAATATTTTTTATGTAGGTAAATTATTCTGCATATATTGTATTTGCTTTATTATGTAGATAAATTACTTTGCATATATTGTGTTTGCTTTATTATGTAGGTTAATTATTTTGTATGTATTTTTCATATATTGGGCTCGCTTTATTATGTAGGCAAATTATTTTGCATTTATTTTACATATAGTGGGTAAATTATTTTGCTTTTAAGCAATCTAACATTTTAAAATTTGAATAGTAGGTGCATTGAATCAAATAACATTTTTTTTTGTGGGTAAATTATTTTGCATGAATTTTTTACACATCCCGACCCGGATTGTCCACTAGGACTCCGAATTGAGATGTACTGGCCGACACATGGAAGGTGACAAAGCCATAAAGTGTGGTGATGTAGAATATGTGAATAAATTTAAACCTAAAAGTGCCTAAACACGAGAGTGTGCTGTGAGCGGGAATGACTCCATTTCACACGTGACGTCATATCATAAGTAAATTACAGTATAGTGGATTGAAAATAATATTGTCGAAGGTAATCTTCAATACCAAAACTTGCCACGAATCCTAATCGATACGAAAACTCTGCTACTAGAACCTGGAGGGATAAAAACAAGAGTGAGTGGACCTGAATATAAAGCTTTAATAAAGACCTTATAAACAATATAACCCCTTGCTATAATACTTGTATAGGTTCCAGGAAATCATACTACATATAAGTATGAAATCAAATGTAAATCAATATTAAATCCAAGAATATTCTAAATCACTACATATCGACAACAACAATATAAATCAAGTGCTCATCAATCTATGGTAACCCACGAGTCGGAGTTACCTAACGCAACCTGTACGACTCATAAATCAATCCATGATAACACGTGAGTTGGAGTTGCCTAATGCAACCTGTACGACTTATAGGCAACCTATACGACAATGTCGAAGTTGCATATCATTGCAACATGTACAACAGGGTCGGAGTTGCATATTATTGCAACCTGTATGACATGGTCGGAGTTGTCTATCATTGCAACCTATACGACAATGTCGGGTTGCTTATTATTGCAACATGTACGATAGTGTCGGAGTTGCCCAAAACACTAATATAGTCATGCCCTAACTCAATCATTTCAAATAATACTATAAACTCACCTGAACTTACATGTACGTCCCGCGTTCACCTTAGCACTTCAAGGCATTCACAACAATTATATGTAGGTAATATGCATATGGTTATACCATAATGCAGTCTAAAATTCAACCATATCATAGTATTTTAGAATATACAAATATATATATGACATGGCATAAAATGCATAAATTAATTTAAAAGCATTTTGTGGAGCTATCAATGATATACATACGATAAAAGGAAAAGACCCACTCACCTAAGGTATGCGCTACGACTCCCTAGCACGAATATCAAGACATCACGAACGATCCTCACCTAGAACAATTATTTAGTCACATCTCAGAACTCTTATCAATAGAACACATAACTTACATAAAACATATCCTAATGACGTTCTAGAATGATTTTAGACTCATTAACCAAAAGTCAACCGTCGGTCAAAGATCATTGGTAGGTTCCACAACACTACGTAACTCAATTCGAAAGATCCGCATCTCATATTTCTAATCTGTAACTTCCAAAGATACACATTGTGCTTCTAAAACATCATACTAAAGTTTTATTACGATCCAACGGTTGGATCTTCGCCAATTGCCAATTCAAGTGGTGGTCAACGTTTTATTTTACGCACTTACAAATCCAATTTGGGAAGATCCATATGTCAGATTCCCAATCTGTAAGTTTTTATATCCTCAAATATTACATACTATAATGTATTAAAGTTTGGTGACGATCCAACAGTCGGATCGTCAATTCACAGAATGTTCAAGTAGCGGTCTTTATCAAAACTATGCTCAAACGATGAGATTTCATCAATCAAACTTCACCTATGGAATTGGGATGTCCATCTTAGCTTAGAAAGGTTAGGGGGTGACTCAGCTCACACGCCGCCGCACACAGCGGTCAGTCGCCCCGATTCGTCGAAAAATTCAACTATCTCCAAAAATTCTCAAATTTTACATAAATGAAGATCTCAAAGAGTAGAACAAATTTTATACAGGTGACCAAGTCCAATTTGGCCGGAAAAGACTCCAATTTCACTCAAACCCACCAGAACCCTAAAATGGATGATTCTTGGTTCGTCTTCAAATCAACTCCGACGCTTCAACCATTGATTGGGCATTGATCCGGAGCTCAAGGGAAGTTGTTTGATGGTGGAGATCGACGGGAAGGGTTGCAGAAAACGGATTGCAGCCAGGTGTCCTCAAAGCCGATGGCTTTGGTTCTTCCAAATCCAAGCCCAAAGAACCCCATTTTTGAATGGGAAATGAAGGTGGAATGACGGTGAGATGTTTCCAGGTGGTAGTTTGACTTAATTCACAGGAATTTTATCGGTGAACTCGTCGGATTTTCTGCCCAGAAACCGGGCCGGCGCACGGGTCCAAGGACCACCCGAGTCGAAGGGGTTCGGATCCCCTCTCTCTCTCCTTTCCCTCCTTTCACTTCCTCCCATTGGCCATATCCTTTTCTCTCCTTCCTGATTTGTTCCTCACCTCCCTCTCTCCTCCTCATTGGCCGCCCATATCCCCTCCTGATTGGGCAAACCTTCCACCCCTCAACTCTCTTTTTCCTTTCTCCCTAATTTCTAATTGGTTACAATTTCCACATGGTGGGAGTTTATTTTCCTTTAAATCTATAATTTAGTGAAACAACTTCAAATGTCCGTAACTATACCGTCATAATCCGGACTCGCGAACGGCTTTCACCTATGCGTTCGTACCAACAAGTATTACACAAATATGCCAAAAGAATAAGTCATACGTTCCTCTAGATGATGGTCAACCGAAGTCAAAATCCTTGCCTCTAGGGCATTTTAGTCAATTCTCTTGATTAAAATAAATAAAAATGAAATTTTAGGGACGAGTTGTCACAATTTCTATATATATCAGGCATTTATTTATTTATTTTTGTTATATATATGTGTGTGTGTGAAATAATTTACCTACATTTGTATGTAAATACAATTTTATTGACTTAACTAAGCATGTATTAGTACATATTAGGCATGTTTTATTGTTATTATATATTAGGCAATAAATTCATTATAATTGTGATTTTTGTAAAACCATTAATTCTCTCTTATAATCATGATGGAATTAATTGTGTACATCAAACATTCAAATAGCTACTTAGTACTACAATCTAGTAGTATTCATTTCACCTGTAAGTGAGAGGTCTTAGGTTCGATTCTCTCCAAAGACGAGTTTGAACCACATTATTACTAGCCCATTATGAGGCCCAACCGCCTCCCCTTAGTGTTATTAATATTGTTTGTGCAAAAAAATAAAAAAAAATAAAACATTCAAATAGGGGAGCATCAAAAAAAATATATTGGTAAAGTCAAATATAATTAATGAATTTGCTAATGTGGAGTTTAATCAATGAGTTGTATTCAAGTTTAAAACTTGTGTCGGATTTTAGATGGAGAAAATTAAGTTTCAGGGATTAAAGTTATATTTTCAGTTAATGGATTAATTAACGAAGCATGTTGGAAATCATAAATCATAAAACGATCGAATATTTAAAGGTTAATTACCATTTTCTAGCACCCCTTTTAAATATGCTTTATCCGCACAAACATCTACCTTTGCAAGCACAATTGATGTTCTAGATTTTTTTAATAAACTGTTTTTTTTTTAAAGCATCAAAATCTCAAACCAACCTATAAACTAAACGGAAACAACTGACAGAATGTAACAAAAGTGTGTCTCCTTATTATTTTCTATGTAGAAAATTACCTCTCATGTCCTTGAATAGGTACATACATATATATAAAACACAAGATACAAGTTGCTCTGTTGAGCTTGGTTCAGGGATTCAGGAGGGGCTGCGGCCTTTCGTGAGTAGCACGAATATGCTGCCGTTGTCTCTCCTTATAATCTGGAGCTCTCCGTTGAGGTACATTGTTAACAACCACGACTCGGCATTGCCACTCGGTATGGGTAAACCTTTGAAGGGTGTGAGGCTGCCGTCATCGGCTGTGTAAATATCTTGTCTGATTTTCTGCATAATTGAACAAGGCAACTTGCAGCACTAAACAAGTTCAGAGGAATGGAATCTCTCCACAAGGAATTGGAGAATGGAATCCCTCCACTCAAGGAATTGGAGAATGGAATCCCTCCACTCAAGAAATTGGAGAATGGAATCCCTCCCCTCAAGGAATTGGAGATAATCGAATTGATTCAATCTAAAACTTAAGGACACTTTAGCAAAAGCACCATGTGCTTAAACCATAATAGCACTTCAATCAATAGGTGCTTGGTCATGCTTGGAATTGTTTCACTAAAAAGAACTTATTCTCATAAAAAGAAATTCGCACATCAGGTGCTGCATCCTTACCATTCATTACGCCAGAGACCAATCTTTTAGTACGATCGAGCTTGTAAGATAAAACTGGGATTTTACAGTACAAACTACCTCGAAAGGCAATTAACCAACCGTCCCATTGCATGCTTCAGGAACCATGCATTGCCCTCTACGAGGTGATTGCAGTGTAAACAAATACACGCACAGAATTTAAAATCAAGAGTGGTGATAAAAATGAACTGACACTGCTCTTGCAAGTATATAAAACCAAGCCACAACCTTCAACGCGCAACAATTTCGGAATTGGACATACAATTTATCGACATATCTTCTGGCTCCTTTCCACCGGCCACATGATTTCTTTCTGTGAAAAATGCTGGCTTTGTTGGCATAGGTAATGCCACACTTTCATTTGTCAACATAGATATCACATTGGAGATGGTCGGCCAATCACCTGCATTTTCCTCCACGCATAGTAGACCGACATGGACGCATCTAAGAAATTGATCCCCGAACACATGAATCCGTTAGTGTTGGATCCATTAGTTCTATCCCTGCGCCTTCTTTCCATAGCTCCCATGTCTGAAACAATATGAGTTATGATGACTTAATTAGGATACCATCATGATCGAATCTCATGAGAAAAACTGCAGTGGGAACTTCCGTCATGTTACATGTTGAGTGACCTATTTTGTTATCGTTAAAATTCTTCAACACCTGACAAATCCTAACGGGACGATACATGCTACTCAACCAGCCATATGTCAGGAAAGTCCGCACTGAAGTTCTTATCAACCCGGACACCTCAAAGGAGAAGAATAAAGAATTAAATGCAGAGGTTTGTGTTACGTACATATCCTACTAAATTTAGCACACGCTCATCATTGTAGAAGCTGTTGTTTTTCCTGCCACTTATGATTTCGAGAATTAACACCCCAAAACTGAAGACATCAGATTTTATTGAAAATATCCCCCTCCATGGCATATTCGGGAGACATGTAATCACTGCACCAAGTGAAGAAGGAAAGGTAAATATATATGTTTTTGTGTACGCATCTATAAAATTCTATAAAATTGCATTTCATGTATCCAAAAGCAAACACGTGATAAGAATGAATGCAAGCATTGTGTCCTTACCGTGTCCCAACAATCCTAACAGTATTTGCTTCCAATTCATTATAGGTGAAAATCCTTGCCATACCAAAATCTGATATTTTGGGGTTCATATTTTCATCAAGTAATATGTTACTAGGTTTCAAATCTCTATGAATTACTCTCATTCTCGAGTATTTGTGCAAGTAAAGCAATCCTTGAGCTATTCCTTCAATTATACTGAAACGCCTCTTCCAATCTAGTAGAGCTCTGGTAGAATCTGTAATATAGAGGAAGCTAAATAAGAATATATCAATGAATAAAAAGTTCGAATAAAGGAAATCAAATGCTAAATTAATGTAGTTCTAATTAGTTCCCAGTTACCAAATAAAAAGTTGTCCAAACTTATGTTTGGCATGTACTCATATACCAGCATCCTCTCTTCACCATGAATGCATAATCCGAAGAGCTGAACAAGTTGCTTCTCACTCTCACTTGGTTGCTTACTTGCTTGATTACTTGGATTCTTTACAAGCTTACTACACCACACATAGCACTACCTTATATATCTATACATGGCATAACCGACCTAGCCAAAGTTGGTGGCCTTGGCTTGTGCATTTCCAGCCATTAACTTATATTACTTTCTAGAATTTTCACTAACATTCCATTTCAACAATCTTAGGATATTTGTTTAGATAATTATAGATAGGTAACCGACTTTGGAGCTAGAATTGTCTAGCATTTTAAGTGCATGCACCGTGACCGTCTACCTCCCATACATTGAATCTCCAGAACCTTCTAGCTAGTACCACCGACATAGTATTTTGCAAGAGTTGTCTAGCATCCAAACACCAATTGGGCTCGTGTTGATCTTCAACATAGCTAACATGTATGCATGACAATTATGCTGAGTTAAAAAAAATCAGCAAAATTTATGGGCATAACATTTCAACTAGAAATCAGCAAAATATATTATACAATATTCCACTTAATCGATGATTTTTGTTTTCGTTACCATATCTACTTTATCAATGGGAACAATGTTTTATTACAGGATTGTTGATTGATTTCTCAACGCCCACCAATGTCGGAATTAGACAAAACATTTATCGATCCAGCTTGCTCTCCCCCTTCACGTATACCATTAAAGTCCACATTTCCTTGTGTGTAATATGCCGGCTTTTTTGGTTTAGGCAACTCCATGCTTTCGTTTATCAACATCGATATTACATCCGACATGGTGGGTCGATCGGCTGCGTTTTCTTCCACGCACAGTAGACTGACATGGATGCATCTTAACAGTTGATTCCCGTTACACGAGTCGCCTAGAGTTGGATCCTTTAGTTCTAGCGCTGCATTTTTTTTCCATAACTCCCATGCCTGAAACAATGGTAACATGATCATTTAGCTAGGATATCACAATAATGAAATGCTACTGACAGTCATTCACAACCACCGTTGATGGAAGTGAGGTCCCACGAACCATCGACGACGCGCTTGGGGGCCATCCCTAGCACAGCTCAGCCTTAAAAACAAGAACATAGTCTGCAGCTAGAAAAGGTTACATACATATCCTACCAAATTGAGTAAGCCATCATCATTGCATAAGCGGTTGATTTTCCGGCCGCTTATGATTTCAAGTATTAGCACCCCGAAACTGTAGACATCGGTTTTTACAGAAACTCTTCCTTCAATGGTCTCAGGAGGCATATAACCACTGGAAAAAATGGAAAAGAAAAAAGTCATCAATTAGTACACATCTACGAAAATACATGCTTAACAACCAAAAGCAGAAGCCATGACAAATAAGAATTTATACACATTTACTTACAGTGTCCCGACAATCCTACTAGTATTTGCTTCCAATTCAGTGTGGGTAAATATCCTTGCCAAACCAAAATCTGCAATTTTAGGGTTCATGTTTTCGTCGAGTAGTATATTACTAGCTTTCAAATCTCTATGAATTACTCTCGTTCTTGAGAATCTGTGCAAGTAAAGCAATCCTTGAGCTATTCCTTCAATTATACCGAAACGCTTCTTCCAATCGAGTTGCACACCTCTGATTGAATCTGTCACAATGTAAAGAGAGTTAAGTAACAATACTCGATATGTTTTTACACTCACAAATTAAACAAATAAAATCAACTACTAAGACTATAGTAGTATTGATTCCAAACCAAAAATAAAGTAGTCTAAGCTTTTGTTTGGCATGTATTCGTATATCAACATCCTCTCGTCTTCATGAATGCAAAATCCAAGGAGCTGAACAAGGTTTGAGTGTTGGAGTTCATGTATGAGCATAAATTCACTCTTAAACTCTGAATTTCCTTGTCCAGAACTTTTTGAAAGCCTCTTCACAGCTATTTCTCGTCCCGTCACCAATTTTCCCTGAATTGATTATCCATAATTTTCTCAGTTGTTTCCAAAAGAATATAGAAGACACTATAATCTAGTCATTGAAGGCCTTACCTTATAAACAGGTCCAAATCCCCCTTCTCCGAGCTTGTTTTCCTCCGAGAAGTTGGATGTGGCAGTCAGAACAGATTCATACGTAAATACGCTTAAATCATGTTTTCCCATGTTTTCTTGATCATGTTCATCGGTAAGTTTATCAGATTTCAAGAAGCAAAGCCATGTGTTCTGTTTCCTTGCTCTGTCCCCACCTATTGAATGGAGACACCAATTGTCAAAGATGTGAATAATAATCCTGTCTTACTGGTGCACATGATTTAAAGAAATATACCAGCTGATGCAAGGGCTGATCTTCTTCGTCGGAGTAGATAGTACGCGGTGCAAAGCACTAGAGCAGCAGCTATAGAAATGCCAATCCAAACCCATTTATCTGCTGCATCATAAACAATTAGCTAGCAACATATGAAATCAGTGTAACACACACGCACATGTACGCATTAATTGTCTTCAATTTTTGGATGAACTAGGTCTTGCAGGTTTCTTCCGTAAAATGAAGAAAAAACCGAGACAGAGAGCAGAACTTAAGACAACATTAACAAAGATAGAGGTACCTAATAATACTGATTCCACGCGTTTGCAGCCTCGGTATATATCCTTCGGATCAAGAAAAGAAAACCCTTTTGGGCATTTGCAGGTTGGCCTTTTTATCTAGTTTGAGCTTACAGACACTGTTATATCCGCAAAAACCCATTTCTTCACGAAGGTTTTGGCAAGTATCATCCGGCTTATACCACAGAGGATTACTCCACCTTGCATTTCCAGTGAAATTTTTCGGGTGAGAATATAACGCGAAAATCCCATCAAAATCAAGAGTTGCCCTTATGTAGTTGTCCCTCACCGATACTCCCTCTGTCCCCGTAAGAGTGAATCTTCCACCATTTTCTCTCCGAACAAACATGTCCCCTGAGCTGGTGAACACCAATTGTTTGCCTTGACTACCTGACACGGTCCCTGCGGTCGTTTTTGTGTCGAAGTAAGGGAAGTTGGCATTATCTGTTGTCAAGTTGACGGTGTTGAGCACGAGGTTTCCATCACCTTGCAAGCGCAGCTGGAACCGCCCTTTTGTGTAGTTAGTCTCCGATTGTCTACACGAAAGCGTCCCATTTCTCTCAATTGTCTGTCCAGGCAAAATGGTGTCTGTAGGATTGCTGAAGGTCTCCCACAAGCTCCGAGAGTTTTGGTGTTGAAGGACAAAGTTTCCGGTGTCATTCATGACCCCGTTCGCAACAGTCCCCAAGGTTATTTCGGATTTCCATGTCTCTCCACCCTGAGATTTTGAAAGCATAAAAAAATATTTATCAAGTCCACCTGTTCTGGGGGCGCCTGTGCCCGGGAAACCATTCATATTGTACATCGTCGCTCAGGAAAGTTCAGTGGGAGCACTCTTGGCACAGGAAAACGATTTCCAGAAAGAATGAGCGCTTTACTACCTGAGTCGAACACTCACCGGCGCTGAGTTGAACTACTCCCCAATAGAAAAAATGTGTCTTGCCTTGGTGTTTGCCATCTAGAAGCTCAGACATTACATGCATGCTTACACCATCCACTTGGTTGCTAAAGCCGACCCAGTTAAATACGTCATGTCCAAGCCAGTTTTGACAGGGCGACTAGCTAAATGGGCGTTGATTCTCAATCAATACAAGATCATTTACGTCCCAGCTAAAGTCGTCAAGGGACAAGCATTAGCAGACTTCCTTGTCGATCATCCAATCCCAGTCGATTGGAAAATCTCAAACGACTTGCCTGACGAGGAGGTATTCTACATTGACATATTCCCAAGATGGACGATGTTCTTCGACGGATCCGCACGAGCAGACGGAGCGGGGGCAAGAGTAGTATTCATGTCGCCACAAAGGCAAATACTACCTTATTCATTCCAACTAAGCGAATTATGCTCCAACAACGTTGCTGAGTACCAAGCACTAATCATCGGGCTCCAAATGGCGATCAATATGGAAATCACAACCCTTAAGGTATATAGCGACTCCAAGCTCATAATTAGTCAACTCTTGACTGAATATGAGGTGAGGAAAGATGATCTCGTTCCGTACTTCCGACTGGCAACTCAGCTGCTACAAAAGTTCGAGGCCGTAACACTAGAACATGTGCCGAGAAAAGAAAATCAAATGGCAGACGCTCTCGCTAACCTAGCCTCGAGTATGACACTAGGAGAAGACGAAGCTGCAGACGTGCCAGTTTGCCAAAGATGGGTCATCCCCCTCGCCACCGAAATGTTACTAGATGATACAAATGTCATCTCGGTACTTCCAGTCGATGTTGAAGAATGGAGACAACCATTGATTGACTACTTAGAGTATGGAAAACTTCCAAATGATTCTAGACACTGCTCTAAAATACGTCGACGAGCACCTCGCTTCCTCTACTACAAAGAAACATTCTACCGGCGCTCTTTCGAATGAGTACTTCTGAGATGCCTAGGTGAGGAAGAAGCCAATCAAGCCATGGAAGAAGCACACTCAGGCGTGTGCGGGGTGCATCAATCTGGACCAAAGCTACATTTCCAGCTCAAAAGAATGGGTTACTACTGGCCAAGTATGGTGAAAGATTGCCTGGAACATGCCAAAAAGTGCCAAGCCTGCCAATTCCACGCCAACTTCATACATCAACCACCTGAACCATTACACACTACAGCTGCTTCATGGCCATTCGATGCATGGGGATTGGACGTCGTGGGACCAATTACTCCAAAGTCATCTGCATGAGAAGCTTACATCCTAGCTGCAACAGATTACTTCTCCAAGTGGGCTGAAGCCGCTAAGGGAAGTAAAAAAGGAAACTGTTGTCCATTTCATCAAAGAACATATCATCCACATATATGGTATGCCTCGCTACATTATCACTGACAATGGAAAACAGTTCTCCAATCGACTTGTAAACGAGCTCTGTGAGAAATACAAGTTCAAGCAGCACAAGTCTTCTATGTATCATGCTCCGGCCAACGGTCTCGCAGAAGCATTCAACAAAACATTGTGCAACCTCTTAAAGAAGGTGATCGGCCGAACAAAGAGAGACTGACACGAAAGAATAAGCGAAGCACTTTGGGCATATAGGACGACGCAAAGGACTCCTACCCAAGCTACCCCTTATTCTCTCGTATATATGGCGTGGAAACTGTTCTACCGCTAGAAAGTCAAATCCCCTCACTGATGATGGCTATACAAGAAGGCTTGACTGATGAAGAGAATGTAAAGTTGCGCCTTCAAGAGTTGGAAGCACTCGACGAAAGAAGGCTCGAAGCTTAACAACACTTGGAATGCTACCAAGCACGACTATCCAAGGCATTCAACAAGAAGGTCCGCCCAAGGTCTTTCCAAACTGGAGATCTCGTCCTTGCATTACGAAGGCCTATCATCACAACTCACAAGACAAAAAGCAAGTTCACATCAAAGTGGGATGGACCATACGTAATATAAGAGGTCTACACGAATGACGCCTACTTAATCATGGCAGAAGACGGCTTGAAGATCGGCCCCATCAATGGTAGATTCTTGAAGCGTTACTACCCCTAAAAGGCGACGACCCAGGCTCCTAGCCTGCATGAGCCTAAACTGCACACGTCATAAAGCTCCTGGCCCACAAGAGCATAAACTGTGTACGGCAAAATCATCATCAAAATCACCATTAAAAAATTATAAATAAATAAATAAAAAAAATCATCGCTCATTTGAACTACGTTATGACTTGATCTCTTCTTTGGAAGAGTACGTAGGCAACTTGAAACTTCAAAACTTCAAGTACAGTCACATCATCATAAAAAACACAAACACGGAGAACGCAGTGCGGCGAGGAAGCAGTGCGTGCAATCAACAGTAGCGTAGGATTACAGGACAAGCCAGTTGGGATGCAAGATAACAAGCATATACTGTGGCTGTGCAATGGTTATGCAGTGATGGCTCGATATATATGTATGTCGGGATGTGTGTATATATATATACATATGTAAAAGAACACAGAGAAGCAAAAAGAAGTGCGGTGACTGTGCGAACAACGACCCGCATGCAGCATCCTTTGCAGTATGGTGACTGTGCAAATAGCTATCCGCAAGCAGTGAAGAATGTAATAAGGTGACTGTGCAAGTGAAAAGATGGTCCACATGCGAGAAGAACGCAGTGCAGTGAGGAAGGCCACCAAGAAACCCAACCGTGCTATCGTCAAGCCACTCACGAGTGTATATTACTATTAGCAAGTCAATAATGGAAAAGGAAATGGGTGGTGATGACAAAATGATGCTTCCAGTCACCATCTAAAAGGAAATGGGTGCACTAGTCTCCATCTAAAAGGAAGTGGGTGCATAGGGAAGTAATACATCTTAGTCAGATATACGTTTTATTTGCATTTCAACACAACATACTGAATAAAATAAGGCATGTCCATTAATATCTCCGAGAAATTACACACAAAAAAAAAGAAAAAAAAAAAAAAAAAAAGAAAGAGCCTTCACGAATGTCACTTATGTGAAGCCTCAGTACTTGGAGCCTTGGTACTCGGTGGAACCTTAAAAGAGGGAGGCACTGAAGATAGCTTATTCGGAGCCTCAATACTTGATCGAACTCCAGATGACGAAGGCAAAAAGTGCCTCTGGAATACATCCACAAACTTCCGATGGTCACTTTGAATTCGACCTTCGGAATCCATCAGCTGATCAAGCTTCCTCTTCATGCTCGTCGAATAACTATTTGCAAGCACATGCAACTCTCTATTCTCACGCCTGAGCTGTCTAATCTCTTGACTAAGAGCTGCCACCTTGGCTGTCAATGATTCGACCTGGCGAGTCCGAGCAAGTAAGCGTTGGCCCATGTTGGAAACAGAGTTCGCACACTGGACACTGAGAGCCTGGGACTCTTGAACGGCTAACTCATCGGACCGTCGTGAAAGTATCCTATTATCTTTAGGAGTGATGAGATTTCTAGCTACAACCGTAGCCGTTGTCACATCCCTCATCACAGAGTCTTCAACTGTAAGAGGGCCATTAGAAGAAAAAAAAGACGGGCGCCATACATTACCCTGACGCGGTGTACCTGTGTCACTGCTGAGACTCAAATCTAAGCAAATGTTAAAAGGGGAAGCCATTTTCAAAAAATACTAAAAGAAAAAGGTTGGATAAAGTAAAATCTCATAGCAGCAGAGATAATTTTTCACGGGCAGGCGATCTTCAAATTGTGCATGCTGAATACAATTGACACCTCTTTAAAAGGAGACGCAGCACAACCATTCGTTCATAAATCGAAGAGACACCACTCTCCGAAATTCAAAACCTGGATTTTCCTGCGTAAAGTAGGGGTGGGCGCGGTTCGGTTTGGGTGGTTTTGAGTGAAACCAAAACCAAAACCGCAAGTTTTTACGGTTTGGTTCGGTGCGGTTTTGAAGCCAAAACCAAAATGAAACCAAACCGTTTGGTTCGGTTCGGTGCGGTTTCAAACGGTTTCGGTTTGTTTTTTAAGAAAATGTACAATTTGCAATTTAACATATTAAAAAGCATTTCCCAATAGTAATAGGAAAATGACATTTGTTATGTAATGCATGTTGCATGTAGTTGTGATGTTAAAACATGTTTGTGCAACAAAAATGTGTCCCTTACAATATTTTTCATAAAACAAGTTGAATAAATTTGAATTCATTAAACGTGAGCGAAATTTTCATACTAGAATATGTGATATCATGCTTCAAATGAGTGGCTTTTAGTAGATCATTGTTCGACTCTTGATAACAAGATTAGTCCACCCTTGTACATATATGTGTGTGTGATGGTATAAAATAACAAAGGTCCTTCAAGTTAATGAACAAAAGAAAGTGATGAATGATGATATTCTAGTGTGGTTGAGTCCATACTAAGTGTATGGATTTTAACAAACAACCAATTAAAACATGAAATCTAATATGGACATTTAATTAAATGTTTATTAATATTTGCGGTGCGGTTCGGTTTCGGTGCGGTTTTCAAAAGCCAAAACTGAAACCAAACCATTTTCTATGTTGCGGTTCGGTTTCAAAACCGCAAAACCAAACCGTTTGGTGCGGTTCGATTTGGTTCGTGTTTCGATTTCGGTTTTCGGTTTTAAGTGCCCACCCCTAGCGTAAAGTCCGTCGACACTTTTCAGACACAATCTCAGCTTTCGGCTATCACGTGCAACTTTGTCAGAGATCACTGACAAAGTTGAAAACGTGTGAAGTCCATTATGCCAACTACCGCACTTCTGCCGACAAGCGTGGGTGACAAGGCCACACTCACCCTGCCACTTGATGTT